GGGCTCGGCCATTCTCCAGCTATAAATATCCTCACTCCCTCCTGCCAAAAAAGGTTACCCAGCTCCCAAGGCAGGGCTGCCCTGGCTGCCTTTAGCCCCCTGGCCAGATCCCTCTGCCTCAGCCTCACTGCCCCATGGGCTCAGGGCTGCCTGTGCTGGGCACCCCCATGCCACTGGAGCTGCTTTGCTGGGGCTGGGGAGGGGCCGGGTTGAGGGGGAAGCAGCTGAACATCTCTGAGGTGAAACCTCTCAAGGCTTAAAACTGGCTGGTACAAAGACTTTGCCTGCTGCCTGCCCTGCCTGCACCTGGCAGAGCCTCTCCCTGCCCAGCACTAGGAGCCACCCCAGCCTTGCCTGCTGGGTGCCCTGATGCCATCCCTATCCCCATCCCTGTCCCAGAGAGCAGGCTCCAGCCCAGGTAGCTGCAGAAATAACGTGTCAGAGCACCAGCAGGGACACCCAGGGATCTCCACTTAGAGGCAACCTCCATTCTCATGGCACCAAACCAGCAGTACCCGCTACTCCCCCAGGGAATCATCTCCAGCAGGTGGACCCCCAGCCTACCAAGGGTTCTATTAGCTCTTGGTGGCTCTGGGCCAAAAGCTCCAAGCCAGCAGGGAAACCCCCTCTGGGTGCAGAGTGGGGCTGGTGTGCCAGGGCACGTGTGGGGGGCAGTTCCCAGCACTGCTGAATGCTGTGGAGAGGAGGAGGGGGGCTCTGACAGCAGCCAACCCTCCCCCCCCCACACACCTCTCTGAGCTGCTGCTTTGAGCACAAAGCAGGGGAGCAGGACATCCAGTTTGGCCCATTTCTGGGCAGGGTGTTGGGGCTCTCAGTCCCCTCCTCTGCCCAGCATGCTCCAGGCAGTGCACCTCTGGCACTGAGTGCCCCCTGGCCCTCCTTGCCATAGCACCCTCTGCCTTTCCTGCCTGCCCAAGACCCCACAGGCACCTCCTACACCCCCAGATAGGCCATTACCCACCAGGCACAAGCATGAGCAAAAAAGGTTGATGAGTCTGTCCCAGTAAAGCCACTTGTCACAGGGAATGCCTGCTGGCATGTTACCACCAGCTCCCACCCCATGGTCCTCTTGGCATGTCATCCTCACTGTCCCAGTCCTTGCAAGCGGATACTGGCATCCCCATGGGGATCTCCAGGGAGGGTCCAACCCCAGCAGATCCCCTGCCCACCTCTGCCACATGTGTGCCCAGGTGCCCTGTGGCCACTGTGCAGATGTCTGCAGTGTACTCGCAGGGCACCACACCACCCCCTTGCCACCCCACATTTCACCCGGAGTGATACTAGCATTAGCAGGGTAACAACCTGTCCCCAAAGGGGACTCACACATAGTGGTAGAGCACAGCTGGGTTCCTGGAAGCATTTCCAGCTCCAGGATGACACAGGAGGGAACTGCAGCTGAAGCAGGGGGACAAAGCTGGAGATGGGGATACCTGCAGGGTGGCTGGGGCTAAGAAATGCTGGAGCAGGAGGCAGTGAGGAAGACCTGCAGCACTGGGGACACCTGGTGCCACAGCCATAGAATGGGGATACTCTGAGAACAACAGCACTAGGGACACCAGACCCACCCCACAACAGAAAGGGACATGGCCATGTGAGCTTGGACATGCAGCTGGATACAGATTGGGCACGGGAACCCCACATGCCTGGTCAACCAGGTTCAAGGGATTTCCTCCTGCCTTCATCAGGGCTGGCTCAGTTGTGCTCTGCTTCCAGCCTCAGAGAGACCTGCCACTGCTCCTCTGCTGCCCATGCAATGGGGTTTGGCAGTGAGAGGCAGCACCAACCTTCTCCCAGGGCAGGGCCAGTGGGGAGGTGTCACAGCGGGGTGACGGCAGCACTGCTGGGGCAGGCTGCAGAACCAGATGTCTCACATGGGTGCACCCCAGTGCTCTTTGCTGCCACCACCTGCAGGTCAGGGTGGGGGGTCTCTCCCCAGGGTCCTGGTGTCTGGGCAGGCAGAGCCCATCGCAGCCTGGTGCAGGGTGGCCAAGGTGCCTATGGCCCAGGACTCACAGGTGAGGGCCCATGGCACCCTCTACCTGGCCCAGCAGCGAAGGCAGAAGTGCCCAGGCCCAGCCAAGGTGAGGACATGTGGCAACACGACCTGGCAGAGTGTGGTGGGTGCTGCCAGTCTGGGGAGTGCCCGGCACTCCGCCAGCACCCACACCATGGCTCGCGCCTGGCTGCCTCCCCCCCAAAGGGGCCACTGC